CACATGAACCTAACTCAGGCCCTCGGACTGTCTGTGGAGGGCCTTGGTCTCAAGTCTTCACACCTCTACCAAGGTCGGATGAAGTGGTTGAGTGGGAATACGTGCCAGGTGCCCAAAAATATTCACCTCCAGGAGCCAATGACATGAGGGCACTAGTGAGATAGGAAACTAAGGAAAAATGTTTGACACATTCAGAGAAACTAGGCTGAGTGTGTCAAATGTCCCAAAACTCCATGGCTAACAGGTTGGGCTGAGATGTTTCTTCCTCTCCCCTCCCCCATAAAAGGATCAGCTCAAATCAAAGGAGCCAAAAGGACACTGAGCTGATGTGGACCAATGAGAGAAGTGCTACCTTTCGTCCTTTAATGGCATGTGGATACAGCCAGTGAAAAGGCATTTCCTGGTTTGCATCTGGGGAGAAACCAAGCAAATTCTCTGACAGGACAGTTTATAGTCAGGTTTATAGTCAGCATGTTGCCCAGTGTATGTTTGCCAATACAAATGTTTCAATGACTTGTTTGCTTGAGAGGAAAGCTGACCAGGAAATTGGGGATTGAAAAGAGCCCTTCCTACCTTATTGTACTGGTGCTCCGACCTTTCCACTTGGCCTGCTCTTGCCCTGCAGAGCATACTACTTTTCATTTCTTTCTTTCTTTCTTTCTTTCTTTTTTTTTTTTTTTTTTTTTTTTTTTTTTTTTTTTTTTTGGTTGAACTGGGGATTGAACTCAGGCCCTTGTACTTGCCAGGCAAGCGCTTATTCTACTGAGCCATCTCCCTGGCCCTTCTTTTCTACTTGCAATAAATGTACACCTTGCTGTTTTGTCCATGTTTTGTCCAGCTATGTATTCAACATTGCTACTTAGACTTCCAACAGACATTTCACTCTCACACAATACATTTTCTCACCTCCTTAATCTTTAGTCCCAACTGTCCCCATCTGAGGAAATGGCAGCTCCTTCCTTCCAATTCTCATTGGCTGTCCTTTGCTTGCACCCTACATCTAACCCATCACAAAATCTCACTCATTCACTCCTACCTGCTCTTAGACCTGACCCACTTGCCTTCCCTTGGGCAGGCTCCTTGGAGATCAGCTACTAGAACATCTTCTTGGATGATAAATGAAAACACCCCTCTAATGAGACTTCTAGCTTTGGCCTTTCCTCCTCCCTCAGCCCTATTCATACCTGTCAAATGCAAACCACATGACTCCATTGCTCTACTCTGAACCCTGCAGGGGCTCTCCAATGCCCTCAAATGAAAGCAAAATCCCCACCACAAGCTACCTGCCTCTAGGACCCAGCCTCTAGGACCCCTCTGGTCTCCTTTCCTGCTGCTTTTGCTGCCCTTCCAAGTTGCATCTTGGTTTTTCTGCTGAATTTTTGGCATGAGAGGCAGCCTCTTTGGCCAAATCATGAATTCCTTGTTCATATCTTTCACTGTCTTCTCCATGAAATTCAGTCTTGCCAAACACAACGTAAACAGCAGTACAGCATGTTGGTCTTCGGGCCTGCCAGAGTCCTGCATCCTGCTCTAATTTTCTCTCTTTCCCCCCTCTAATGTTTATTCCTCCTAATTTACTATAGTCTTTATTTTTTATTATATTTTCATTTTTCCACCTGCCCTACCTTCACCCCAGAGTGTGAGCATCAAATATTCAGAAACTCTTTCGTTCCATAGCCCATCTCTAGCACCCAGAGCAGTACCTGTTGCCTCAGGACACACTTAGCGAATAAATATGAAGTGCCTAATTCTGTAGTTCAGTATATTTGGTTTTTCCTTGATTTATTGCTATGTTAAGAGTCCAGAAAGCAAACTCGTAAGCAAAACGAGCTATGTGAAAATGCATACACAAAGAAAGAAAAAGAAGCAAAAGCCACAGGGTATTCCCATGTGACAGACAGAAAAATGCTTTCAGAATCATCTTCTCCCAACTATTTCCCTACATCCTACTCATCAAATCATTGCAGCTGCTCCTATTATCTCTAAATGTATTATAAAAAGCAAGCCTGTAGTAGCTGTTATTTTTTTTATCCTATGTTCTCATTTATCATTTTTTCCCTTAAAAATAGCTCTCAAATCAAGCTGGAATTTGAAAGCAGAAAAGTAAAGTAAGAAAGAGGAGGGTTCTTTAGAGAGTACTTAAAGAAGTAGACACCAGGCAGCTATGCAGTTTCACTTAGAAAGAAGATGTGTTGTAGCACATCGCTATAATTCTCAAAGATTATCCTGATGGGCCACTGCTATAAGCAGATTTGCATGGCGTGCAGATGAAGGGACATAATGCTGCCAAGTTTTTCAGTGAAACTGAGTAGTCAATGGAGTCAGTAGCACACATGTATCGCTCATAGAAAAACGCAGCACTTCACACCTGAAGATTTTAAACTAGAGACGTTTTAAATGAAGGAGATACATCTCACCTATTGATAGTTAATGTGTAGAAGCTGATGCCCTGAACACAATGGCCTAGGCAAAACATCCTGTCCATGATAGACGGCAGGTTGAGAAAACCTGTGGAGCAGTGTTAGAGGCTGCTTCCCCCCACAGGTAATCTAGGTTGACATTCTAAAGGAGAACACCTTGTTGTCTTGTGGAAGTTGACTTGGCAACACAGACATCAGTGAGACTGACTAATCTAGAAAAAAATTTAGACGTGTGTTTGAAATCTGTGTTTTCTTTTCGGCATGTTCCTCATGTCAGTTTCCTGGTGGGGTGAAGGGTGGGGGTGACACAGTCATCCCCAGAATCTCATCTACCAGAATCTCATTTACTCTCTTCTTAAGCTAACTTGACTTGTACTTTCTTTAGAGTAAAACGTTAAAACCTCACTTCTTTGTCAACAAATAATTTAACTGGAATGAATGGTGAGTGTACTTGGTGAAGTGGACAGGAGATACAAAACCTAGCCTGCTTGCAAAGCTGATGAGGTGACAGGAGCATTGTTGTTTTTGTTTTTGTTTTTTTGGTGGAACCAGGGATTGAACTCAGGCCCTTGCGCTTGCCAGGGAAGGGTTTATCCTACTAAGCCATCTCCCCAGCCCCTTTTTTTGTATTTTAGGGAAGGGTCTACAGGGTGCTCAAGGTTTCACTACTAGATTGGACTTGTCATAGTGATCTGCCTGTTTACAGCCTCCTACGAGCTGAGATTACAGGCATGTGCCACCACGCCCAGTCTCAATTGCCAGCTCAGTGTGCCCTAGGGAGGGGCCGGCACAGCCAGCCCTGGGATTGAACCCCTAACCCTTGTGTCTGCTTGCAGGTGCTTTAATCCACTGAGCTATTTGACTAGCTCAACAAGAGCATTGTTGACAGGAAGTATTGTCTCATTAGTTACTGACATGAAAAGAAGAGGGTTACAAAACTATTCAATATATTATAGAACTATTATAAAGAAAACTGACATAGAGGACAAGTATTAAATGTGCAAATATTTAATGCCAGAAAAAAATAATCTCTAAAATATCCACCTCTCCGCTTTTCTAATAAGTGATACCACTTGCTTCAGGTAGCAATAATTAATATATTATATTTTTAACCTTTAAATTTTTTAATTTGGTACAGGGTGTCACTACCCAGCTGGGACTCATAGTTAGTGATCTTCCTGTCTCAGTCTCCTCAGCATTGATATCACAGGCATGCACTACCATGCCCGGTCTGTGTGGCTGGCTCAGCACACCCGGGAGCAGGGCCAGTGTGGCATGTGGTGCCTGGGATTGAACCCAGGTCCTTGTGCTTGCCAGGCAGGTGCTTAGACCGCTGAGCTATCTCCCCTACCTCAACGAATACATTATTAATGGTTCAAAAATTAGGTGCATGTTTTTCTTAGATTGTTCACAATTCTGTTTAAATATAAACTGCTTAGGCTCTTAATACCAATATTATTCTATATGTAATAGAAAATAAACAGTGAGTTCTATCTTTGTCTTGTCATAAACACATGCATGAAAGAAATCTATTTTTATAAAACAAAATAAACTGTAATTTGCCTTTCACATGAACGTCATTTCATTAAGACTGTATGGAAACAAACTTACTTCCTAACAATATTTTACATATTCATAAGATTTTTTTATGTCTTTAAATGACTTCTTTAGGATCTCCACTTAAGATTAATTTGATTTAAAGTCTGCATTTTCTGGGGGGTCAGGCTTAGTACAAGGGATATTTTATTTTTCAAAATTAAAGATTTTAATGAACTTTTGTCTTCCAAACATAAAAGTAATGTAACTATTTTTCAAAGTAAGATAGCCTTTCCTCAAAAGATTTGAAAATAGCTCAGAAAGTCATATTAATTCACTGGGTAAACTTCTTCTCTTAGATAAGATATCTCTATGCACAAGATATTCATATTGAAAATTTTTAATGTAAAAAGGCATTTTTAAAAGGAAGCTAAAGTAGCATGTACAGTAGAATTATAGTTCATATGAAAACTGAATCTTTGTACCCTGTGAGAATTCAAGTAAAGTCTTTATGAAAACATCTTTTGCAGATTGGCAAAAGCTAATAAAAGTTAGATTTTATAATATTTCTATATGCTTATGTTGCAAGGAAAATCAATTATCCTACATAACCTGTGTCAATAAATCACCCTTTGCAAATGAACACTTTGTAATCTTTCTTTTTCTTTGGAAAATGTCTTTGGAGGGCACAACGTGCTGCTGCCGTCCTGACCCAGATAAGGAGAGAAGGAACCCTCCTGCTTGCGGGCGCAGGAAGCACAGCTACGGTCAGAGTCCCGCTGTTGCTCAGCTGTTGTTTGTAAAACTGTTTGCTCAATTCTCACATTGGATGAATTAATAAGTCAGCCCCCTAGAATGTCATATACTCATTTTTTTTATCATATATTCTACGCAAATGTTGGCACAGCTAATTTTGCTATAGTTGACAACTCCCATCTAGTTAGTTTTTATTGTTGTTGTTTCCTTTGGGTGTTTTGCTTGTCCCGACATGAATCGGTCACATTTGGACAAAATGTCACGGTACGAGGCACACAGCCTAGTTACCTGTCTATGATGGCACACATGTCGATGCTGACATTAGCAAAGCTTCCCGGCTTCCTCTGGGCTATTTCATATAAATTCACAAGCTGATCATCCACTTGGATAAGCTGCATGCATCCTTGGAACGAAGGCTGAAGAACAGAGTGGCTTGAGTTTCTCATCTGGTTCAGAAAACCTATGGGAGAGAAGAAATGGCTCTTGTGAAACCACTGTCCGGCATGCTTTACTAAAATTCTTGTGGCTATTTAACCTGGGTTCAGACATCATAGGAAATGGCTATGATGTTCTTCATTCTGGCTGGTATTTTGTTTGTCATAGAGGAGTTAAAGCTTTTTCAGAATATGAGATTATTTTGAAGGAAGAAGATAGGGTTAACTGTAAGGGATTACCAGGTGAATTTCTGTCTCTGGAATCCTACTGTCATCCCAGTTTTCTCTGTGATATTTTTCTCAGTATGTCTGAGGCTCATTGTTAGATATCTGCTATGGATTGTGTTGGTAGATAACCTCATGCAGTCATCGGTAGGGCTTTTCAGAGGCACCTTGATCTAGGATATGTGATACTGAGATCAAATAAATGGTGCTGGGATTAAATTTGTGGTTGGTAAATTAGTCTTCTGATTGGTTTGGCATGCATCTCGGTTTGGATAATGGAAGGCCCACCCTAGATAGGGGTGGTACCACCCATCGGCCAAGTAGCCTGGATGGATACAGAGAGACAGAAAACCATCTGGGCTCTGAGGCTTCTGCTGCCTTTTCCCTGCCCTGTTTTGCCATGAGCTGTTTGTCCTCTGTCCTGCTCTCTGCCGTGTTACACTACTTTGGAGCCAGGCAACCATGGACTGAAATCTCTACAGACCTTGAGCCTGAATGAACCTTTCCTTTTTTCCTTTAACTTCAGTGTGTCGGGAATTTTGTCACAGCAATGACCATGATCTCCGCAAGCATTCAGACAATAGCCTAGCCTGAGTCGGCCCTCATGATGAAGACATGGAATTTGAGATTCCTCTTGACTGCCACACTTCCTTTCTCCTGTACTTTTAATATATGCTTTTATTTTCTTAGCAGACTTGGCCTTTTATTTGGTTGTAAAAAGCAGAACCTTCTACCATGAATAGTAAGAGTAACCTTTTGATGGTTTTGAATGGATGGGTCAAAGTTGAACCCAACCCCAAGAGACATTTGCATCACAAATGATTTCTTAATTTATAAAATTCAAAGAAACATTATAAAGACAAAATTAGGCATGACATTAAGTACTCTGCTTTGAATATCCACCCTAGACAGGGTGCCTAATATGGTACAGTTGTACAAATGATAACAGATGGAGTAAAATGTAAGAGAGAAAAGCAAAGAAAACCCATAGTCAATATTGCTGCTGATTCTACTAGGAAATAGAATGTACGTACACCAGGTGTGAAACACACAGTAAAAATTTTATTACTAAATAAGTTCAACATATTACCACCAATCAATTACTATTATCCTTTTTCAACTGAAAAATATAAATAATTCTGCACAGAAAATTTGCTGTCTATAAGGGAAAGACATGTCTAGATCTCAAAAGCTTTTTGTTTTTATATTGTTCCTCATGTCAAATTTGTCTACTGGTCAAATCTTAACTGTATCAATTAGTGTGCTTAGAAATTTGGGAATTATTAAGAAAATTACTTTATCTAATATTTTATCTATAGCAAGAGGCAATTTGTACAGAAGGGATTAGAATGAACGTGTGCCATTTAAAAGGATAAATGTAAATTTTCAAAGAAAATGGAAACTGTCCATTGGCAGATTTTTAAATTGTCCTATTCTTTTTGACCATTGTACATCACCACTGTACTTCAACATGATTAAAATTCTCTTTTCTCACTTCATTAATGGCTTATACTATTTAAAACCTAGTAACTGTCATTGAAACCTCCTTAAAGTTTTTTTTTTTTTTTTTTTTTTTTTTCAGAACCAAGGATCGAACTCAGGCCCTGCGCTTGCCAGGGAAGCGCTTATTCCACTGAATCATTTCCCCGGCTCTCCTCCTTAAAGTTTTAATCACAGAGATGTATTCTGTATCCTGTCAATGCAGTACTGTATAAAAATAGGATTCCATTCAAATTAACTTTACTGATCTAAAAATTAGAGGCTCTAGTTCAATATGAATACATGATTTATGTGTGTGTGTGTGTATGTGTATGTGCGTGCTTTCTTTCCAAGTCACAATTTTTTTTTTTTTTTTTTTGCATTGACTTAGCCCTTGAGGAAAATGCTGATCTTGGATAAGTGGCCCATTCAGAATAGTTGTATGCACACACATGCTTTTCAATTGTCTAATCAAGATAAAACTGAATGAGATTTAATGTCTAAACTTAGCAGAGAGAAAACACCCAGCTGTAACTTTATTGACCACTCATAATAATGCTATCATGTAGTTCTGCTTTTGTGACTACTCTAAATATCCCTACTAACTCTGAAAGATTTGAGAATGAGTCAATCTACTTCTGAAAACAAGAACTTCTCTCAGGCTAAGCAGCTGCATAAGCCCCGATCACAACACATTGGGTATAATTAACTTTACAAAACAAGACTTCATCAGTCACTCAGAACAATGCTGTGTTTAGTCTTCATCCTTTCAGTTTGGAGTCCTCAAGGCCTTTCATTTTCTGACATGAGACATAGTCTAGGAAAAGATAATGCTAGGACAAAATACTGCATATCCGCTAAAATTTATGCTTTTCTTTTTCTCCTCTTAGATTGTCCTTAAAATTTCCATAGGGCTTTCTTTGATCCTTGCCTATGGATGTCTGCACCCTTCTGTGGTTCCCTGTCACTGTGAACTAAGGCTTTCCCCAGAGAAGAATGTTAAGCTTGCCAGCTGGTGGTGACGGCTGTGATTTCCAAGGCTGGCTTCCAGCTTGCTCTGTGTGATTTTCTTTCTAGACAGTCACAACCATGCCATGATCTTGAGTAGGTTTGTGGAGGGGCCATGAGAGGTAAAGAAACATTGTCATGGTTGTCAGTTTTCTGCAAGAGAGATATCTGCACAACTGTGAAAGAGTTATTACACAACTATAGATAATTAAGAAATAAGTTGGTACTGAGAGACGAGTTTAACAGAAACTTATGCCTGTTAAAAATGTGCCTGTGATATTGTGGGAGACCAGGCCCCGTGATCAGACACAGGAACCAAGGTCTTGTTGACCTTCGTAGGACTGCCCCCTTCTCTCCCTTGTTTGTGTGTAGGAACGCTGTTGCTCACAATATCTCAGGGCAAGATAGGATCAGTGGATGGGTAAACCACAAATTATCTGTCTGTCTGCCTATCTATCTGTCTGTCTGTCTATCTATCTATCTATCCTCTATCTGGGCATAATGTTGTTATGTTCCTTGTTAGTCATTTACATTTTCTTGAACTCTGGATTGGTGATTGTGTCATTGTTTTGTTTTATGATGAATATGAGACCTTCAGGACACCTAAAGCTCTTTTTCCCTTCAGAATGGAACCCTCTGGTCCCCCTTACTTGAAAATTTCTGTCTTTTTCTTTTATTCCTCATCATATCCCTAGGTCAACTTGCAGGCTAACCCCTGCAAGATATATGGGTTGGGTTGTAAAAATGAACTGCCTAAACCTTTAAGGAACTGTTGGCCAGGTGCTTAATCATTCTTGTAGAGGTAGTCAGTAATGGCTTAAAGAAAGGTAGGAAAAATGTTATTGGAAAAGGGAGAACATTGGATGCTTGCTGTGTTGTGTGGGAAAATTTAGCAAAATTACTGTCTGTGATAATATAGAAAGAAATGATATCCTTAATAAATAGTGTATTCTAGCTGAGACATTTCCAGGCAAAATACTGAAAATGCTATCTGGTGCTGCGCCTTCTTTTTGCTTGTTCTAGAGAGAAGACAAAGAGAAAAAAACTGAAGAAAACCTCATAAATATGAAGAAACTCTATGACTTGATGAATTTTAGTGCAAAATATTTCCTCAATTATAGTTTATCTAGATGGTAAAACAATAAGTAAGAAATAATTTCTATGTAGAGATCAAACACTTGGAAAACACAATTTAATGATGATAAGATATGAATAGAAAATCTGTGTTAAGATTTCAGAAAGACATTAGATTACATTTCAGAAAACAATTCAGTGAGATGAAAGGTGGTACACAAAGGTTACCAGTGTACTTCACAGAGCCTATCATTAAACAATGAAAGTTGTAATACTTTTTTTAATTTTATGCATTTGGTACAGGGTCTCACTACACAGATTCGACTCATAGTGATCCTCCTGTTTTCAGCCTCCCCAGTGCTGAGATTACAGGTCTGCGCCACCATGTCTGGTCTTGGTGGCTGGCTCAGTGCACCCAGAGGTGGGGCTGGTGCAGCATGTGGTGCTGGGAATCAAAACCTGGCCCCTGCGCTTGCCTAAATGTGTGCTTAGTCTGTTGAGCTATCTCGCTGGCCCTAAATTGTAATGCTCTTAAAGGTATTTTCCTTCTGTAGATTGGAAACTCTGGCAGGCAGGGACCTTTTCCTTTTGTGATAATGAATGTCCCTTTTTATTAATAACAATAAATTTGCATAACATTCATAGAAATCCCATTTATTTTTAAGGGAACTATTTTAACAATGCCACAACATTGTACTACAAAATAGACTTTTGGCCTTCCAACCTTCAAGTTCATGAATCTACCTAGCTCTAAATGTAGATTATCAATTATTAAACAAAAAGGAAGGTGGTTCAGAATAACAGAGTGAAGACTCTGAAGTGCAGAGCTAAATATCACAGAGAACTATTTCTTAAAAACAGCAAGACTGAATCCTAAAGAGCAGATTTCCAATGTGCCCAACTAGGTTTCAGAACTGATGGACCAGTGGCTTCTACATACCGCTTATTCTCCTCCTTTGATTACTTATTTATTTATTTGGTATAGGGTCTTGCTACACTGCTTGGACTCATAGTGCTCCTCCTGACCCAGCCTCCCAAGTGTTGAGGTTACAGGTGTGTGCCACCAGGCCCAGTTCTAGTGGGTGTGTGACTGGCATGGCCTGCAGTACTGGGAATCAAACCCAGGTCCTTGTGCTTGCCAGGCAGGTGCTGAGACCAATCGAGCTATCTCCCCAGCCCTGTTCTCCCCCTTTGGAGCTATATATTCTAAGTTTGTTCTTCCATGGAAATCCTGGTACTT